ACCCCTCCCTGCCTCGTCTTCGAGGTATGGCCTCCTGTGCTCTTGTCTCTGGACTCCCCAGGTCCCTCCCTCCCCTTCCTCTGTGTTCCTTGTGTCGAGGGCCGGCAGCGCGCCGCTCCTCACTCCTCCTCGTTCCCTCCGACTGAGGCTCCTCTGCAGACTCTTCACATGGACGTGTGGGGCCCAGCCCACGTCCGTGGACAGGGTCACGAGCGTTACTTCCTGCTGGTCGTTGACGACTACTCGCGTTACACCACAGTCTTCCCCTTGCGCAGCAAGGGTGACGTCACTGAGGTGTTGATCGACTGGATCCGCGGTGCCCGTCGCCAGCTCAGCGAGAGTTTCGGCTCGGACCTTCCTGTTCTGCGTCTGCACTCAGACAGAGGTGGTGAGTTTTCGTCCGACCTTTTGAGGACCTTCTGTCGTGCGGAGGGCATCCGCCAGACGTTCACGCTTCCGGCCTCCCCACAGCAAAATGGGATTGCTGAGCGCCGCATTGGCATGGTCATGGACGTCGCTCGTACGTCCATGATCCATGCGGCTGCTCCCCATTTTCTGTGGCCGTTCGCGGTTCAGTACGCTGCGCATCAGATCAACCTTCAGCCTTGTGTCTCCTTGCCGGAGACCACACCTACTCTGAGGTGGACGGGGAAGGTTGGCGATGCGTCCGCGTTCCGTGTCTGGGGATCTCGAGCTTTTGTCCGCGATACTTCAGCGGACAAGCTGTCCTCCCGTGCCGTTCCCTGCGTCTTCCTTGGCTTCCCCCCTGACGTACCCGGGTGGCAGTTCTACCACCCCACCTCGCGTTGTGTTCTGTCCTCTCAGGACGTCACGTTTGACGAGTCGGTGTCTTACTACCGTCTCTTTCCCTACTGCGCTGCCTCTCTCCCCCCCACGCCACTCTTCCTAGCACCAGGTACTCCTCCGGTAGACCCCCTTCCCCCTCAGGGTCCTGCCCCCTCAGGTGTGTCTCGGGTAGACCCTGCCGAGCCGGTCGAGGTAGCTGTCGACTCAGGTGCTGCTAGGGGTGCTGAGCCTGCGGGTGCGGGGACTGGGGGTGCAGAGCCTGGGGGTGCTGAGCCTGAGCGTGTGGAGTCTGGGGTTGCTGAGCCTGCGGGTGCGGAGCCTGGGGGTGCTGAGCCTGAGCGTGCTGAGTCTGGAGGTTCTCCGGGTGTCCCGTTGCGGCGGGAGCCCCTATCTCCGCAGCGGCTTTGTGAGTGGTACGCTCGGCGGTGTCGCCGTGCTACTGGTGCTCCTGAGGGTGCTGCTGGTGCTGGAGCTGCTGGAGGTGCTGCTGGTGCTGGAGCTACTGGAGGTGCTGCTGGTGCTGGAGGTGCTGGAGGTGCTGCTGGTGCTGGAGCTGCTGGAGCCGCTGGTCCTGGAGGTGCTCATACTGGAGGTACTAGAGCTGCTGGCGCTGGTGGTGCTGCAAGCGTTTGAGCTGGTGGTGCTGCGGGAGTTGTTACTGGAGACCTTTGAGCTGAGGGTACAGGTGCTGTCTCTGCTGTTTCTGGAGGCGCTGCGCGGCCGAGGCCGTACTACGTTCCGCTCCATCAGCAGGTTCTTGGTCTACTGCCTTCTCCTGGTCCTACTCCTCCTTTACTGAGTCCACCGCCTGTCCAGTCACAGTCGCAGTTACAGCCAGCCTCTCCACTGCCTTGTCCTTCTCCTTACTCTGGACCGACTAGAGGTCTTACGGAGCGTCGTGAGCCTTAGTCGCGTCCTGTTTTGCCTGAGTCTCGCTCTGCGTCGCCTGTCCGCACTGTTCGCGCTGGTCGTCGTGTTTCGCGTCCGTGTCCTCCTCCTGTCCCTGGCAAACACTCTATGACTCTGCGTCCTTCCACTGCTCGACAGCGTGTCCCTCTGCCTTCTCCTCCTGCGTCCTCTCTTCCTGACGGTCCGGACCCGGAGTCTGACTCCCTTCGTGCTGCTAGTCCTACTGTCACACGTTTCCTGGCCACTGCTGTCACTGACCCTTTGTTTGAGTCCACTGCTGCATCTGCTCTCGTTGCTGAGCTTGTTGACTTTGCTGCAGCCTGTCGCCTAGACTACGCCACTAGTCTTGTTGCTGAGTCTGCGTCTGCGTCTGTCTGTCCTCCGTCCGTCGGGGGTGAGTGTGCTCTTGGCACGGACGTTCTTGAGGACAGACAGGAGGATTTTGAGTGCTTTGCCACTACTGTACCTCATCTCTTGTCCATGCTGCTTGCCCCTGAGCGAGACCCGGATGCACCAGACATCCCGACCCCGCGCTCTTACGCAGAGACGATAGAGGGTCCCTACTCCTCTCAGTGGCAGGCAGCCATGGATGCCGAGATGGCTTCCTGGAAGTCCACAGGCACCTACGTCGAAGAGGTTCCCCCACCTAGGGCGAACATCGTCAGTGGCATGTGGATCTTCAGGGTGAAGCGGCCGCCGGGTTCTCCGCCTGTCTTCAAGGCGCGTTACGTTGCACGTGGCTTCAGTCAGCGACAGGGAGTTGACTTCTTCCAGACCTTCTCCCCTACCCCAAAGATGACCACTCTTCGGGTACTGCTACACGTCGCCGCTCAGCGTGACTACGAGCTCCACTCACTTGACTTCAGCACAGCCTTCCTCCAAGGCAGCCTGCACGAGGAGATCTGGCTGCGCCGCCCACCTGGCTTCACTGGGTCGTTTCCTGCTAGTACCCAGTGGAGCCTCCGGCGGCCAGTCTACGGTCTCTGCCAGGCACCCCGTGAGTGGCACGACTCACTGAGGACGACTCTTGCTGCTCTTGGTTTTGCTCTTTCCACTGCTGACCCTTCTCTGTTTTTACGCACTGACACCACTCTGCCGCCGTTCTACGTTCTCGTGTACGTAGACGACCTCATCTTTGCTACTGCTAACACTGAGGCACTCGCCCAAGTGAAGTCCGAGCTGCAGAAGAGACACACGTGCACAGACCTGGGTGAGCTGACAAGCTATCTTGGCTTGCGGATCACCCGGGACAGAGCACAGCGCACCATTACCTTGACTCAGTCACACATGGTGCAGCAGGTCCTTCAGCGCTTCGGCTTCAATTACTCCTCGCCACAGTCCACTCCTCTGCCTACCGGTCACTCGCTCTCAGCTCCACCTTCGGACGAGTCCGTAGAGCCGAGTGGCCCGTATCCAGAGCTTGTGGGCTGCCTCATGTACCTGATGACTTGCACACGACCTGACCTCGCATACCCTCTCAGCCTTCTGGCTCGCTACGTGGCTCCCGGCAGGCACCGAAAGGTGCACTGGGATGCTGCAAAGAGGGTGTTGCGCTACTTGTGCAGTACATCGGGCATGGGGCTTGTGCTTGGAGGACGGGCTCGAGTTGTCCTCACTGGTCACGCTAACGCCTCCTGGGTTGACAACTTGGCTACGCAGCGATCGTCACAGGGTTACACCTTCAGTCTTGGCTCCGGTTCTGTCTCTTGGCGGTCTACCCGCTCTTCTTCTGTTCTTAGCTCCAGTTGTGAGGCTGAGATCTACGCTGGGGCCATGGCTGCACAGGAGCTACACTGGCTCACCTACCTGCTGACCGACTTGGGAGAGGCGCCTCGTTCTCCTCCAGTTCTGTACGTCGACAACAAGGCCATGCTTGCCTTGTGTCAGGAGCACAGACTGGAGCACAGAACGAAGCACATTGCTCTGCGCTACTTCCTTGCTCGAGAGTTGCAGCAGCGTGGCCAGCTTCGTCTTGCTTACGTGGCCTCTCAGGCCAACACTGCTGATGTTTTCACCAAGGCACTTCAGCCTTGTGATCATCAGCGTTTCTGTACTGTGTTAGGTCTTGTACCTACTGTGCCTCACTTGCTTACTTCTTGACTCTGCTTGTATTGTACGCTTTATACATATACCTGCATGCTTACACTTACTAGGTTGTGTTCACTGTATTGTTTGCTCTCCCTTATATAACTCTGCATGTGAACTGGCCTTGTGGCCATTTGCTTGTGCTCAAACTGCGTGGTGACTTTGTGATCCACCCTGAGCTTGCTTTGCCTTTCTTGACTGGTCTTGTGACCTCTTGTTCTCCCCCACTTTGCCTATGGGGGTGTGTCAAACTTATATGCTATAGTCTCTTTAGGCTGTAGTGGGGTAGTTCTTATAGGGTACAACACTTCTAGGTTTGCTACTTGTACCCAACTTCTTTCTAGTTCAATCACTCATTCGTTCAGATTCTGACAACCCTAGCTGTGGCTCATACTATTCTAACATGGTATTAAGAGCTGGTTCTAACATTAGGACCTACTCTCTTTGGGCCCACCACCTGCTGCCCTACGTGCCACCCTCGTGCGGCCCTTCTCTCGACATTAGGCCCCGGCCCGTCGGTCGTGCCCGTCGCCCCTAGGCCCCGGCCCCGTCGCCCCTAGGCCCGTTGCCCCTCGCCCCCGTCGCCCCTAGGCCTCGGTCCCGGCCCGTCGCCCGTCGCGCGTAGCCCCTAGGCCCGTCGCCCTTAGGCTCCGGCCCCCCGGCCCGTCGCTCGCGCCCGACGCTCCCCTAGGCACGACCCTACGCCCCGCGGCCCCCCGTCGACCAAGGCCCCTCGGCCCCGTCGCTCGCGCCCGACGCCCCTAGGCCCCGGTTCCGGCCCGTCGCCCGTCGGGCCCGCCGCCCCTAGTCCCGTCGGCACCATTGCCCCTTGGCCCCAGCCCCGTCGCCCCTAGGCCCATCGCCCCTTGGCCCCGTCTCCCCTAGGCCCGGCCCGTCACCCATCGCCCCTAGACCCACCAGCGAGTTCGCGAATGCCAGCAACCGCTGCCCGTCGCCAGCCCCGTCGCCCGCGGCCCAGTCGCCTGCGGACTCGTCGCCCAAGGCGCCGTCGCCTACGGCTCTGTCTCCCGCGGCCACGTCGCCCGAGGACCTGTCGCCCGCAGCCTCGTCGCCCCTTGCCTCGTCGGCCGAGGACCCGCCCCCCCCAACTTCGTTCTCCCTCTCCCTGCTGCGCGTGCAGCAGAAAAGGAGGGGGGGGGGGGGGGGGGGGGGGGAGGGAAGGGTGTTGGGGGCGCGGATCATGGAGGGTGAGGGGGTGGCAAGAGGGGTGCGGTTCCGGGGGGTGGCTGACCTAGGGGGTGGCAGGAGGGGTTTCTGCAACACCAGCCACCCACCACCTCCTCCTCCTCTCTCTCCCTGCCGCACCTTGTGTTGGGAGGGGGGGGGGAGCTTGGAGGTTAAGGGGGTGGCGGGGAGGGGATCTGCAGCACCAGCCCCCCCGCCCCCCCCCCCCCCCCCCCCCCCTTCTCCTCCACCCCCCTGCTGCGGGTGCAGCAGTGGGGGGGAGGGGATCTGCAGCCCTGTGCGCCCCGCGCGCCCTGCTGCCCTGCTGCCCTGTGCGCCCCGTGCGCCCTGCAGCCCTGCGCGCCCCGCGCGCCCTGCTGTCCTGCTGCCTTGCGCACCCTGCGCGCCCTGCAGCCCTGTGCGACACGCGCGCCCTGCTGTCCTGCGCGCCCCGCGCGCCCTGCAGCCCTGTTCGCCCCGCGTGCCCTGCTGCCCTGCTGCCCTGCTGCCCTGTGTGCCCCGCGCGCCCTGCAGCCCTGTGCGCCCCGCGTGCCCTGCTGCCCTGCAGCCCTGTGCGCCCCGCGTGCCTTGCTGCCCTGCTGCCCTGTGCGCCCCGCGCGCCCTGCAGCCCTGCGCGCCCCGCGCGCCCTGCTGTCCTGCGCGCCCCGCGCGCCCTGCTGTCCTGCTGCCCTGCAGCCCTGCGCGCCACGCGCGCCCTGCTGTCCTGCGCGCCCCGCGCGCCCTGCAGCCCTGTTCGCCCCGCGTGCCCTGCTGCCCTGCTGCCCTGCTGCCCTGTGTGCCCCGCGCGCCCTGCAGCCCTGTGCGCCCCGCGTGCCCTGCTGCCCTGCAGCCCTGTGCGCCCCGCGTGCCTTGCTGCCCTGCTGCCCTGTGTGCCCCACGCGCCCTGCTGCCCTGCTGCCCTGTGCGCCCCGTGCGCCCTGCAGCCCTGCGCGCCCCGCGCGCCCTGCTGTCCTGCTGCCTTGCGCACCCTGCGCGCCCTGCAGCCCTGCGCGACACGCGCGCCCTGCTGTCCTGCGCGCCCCGCGCGCCCTGCAGCCCTGTTCGCCCCGCGTGCCCTGCTGCCCTGCTGCCCTGCTGCCCTGTGTGCCCCGCGCGCCCTGCAGCCCTGTGCGCCCCGCGTGCCCTGCTGCCCTGCAGCCCTGTGCGCCCCGCGTGCCTTGCTGCCCTGCTGCCCTGTGCGCCCCGCGCGCCCTGCAGCCCTGCGCGCCCCGCGCGCCCTGCTGTCCTGCGCGCCCCGCGCGCCCTGCTGTCCTGCTGCCCTGCAGCCCTGCGCGCCACGCGCGCCCTGCTGTCCTGCGCGCCCCGCGCGCCCTGCAGCCCTGTTCGCCCCGCGTGCCCTGCTGCCCTGCTGCCCTGCTGCCCTGTGTGCCCCGCGCGCCCTGCAGCCCTGTGCGCCCCGCGTGCCCTGCTGCCCTGCAGCCCTGTGCGCCCCGCGTGCCTTGCTGCCCTGCTGCCCTGTGCGCCCCGCGCGCCCTGCAGCCCTGCGCGCCCCGCGCGCCCTGCTGTCCTGCGCGCCCCGCGTGCCCTGCTGTCCTGCTGCCCTGCAGCCCTGCGCGCCACGCGCGCCCTGCTGACCTGCGCGCCCCGCGCGCCCTGCGGCCCTGTGCGCCCCGTGCGCCCTGCTGCCCTCTGCACGCGCATCTACAGCCCCATGGACAGCCCCTACCCCATGCACGCATCGGGAGGGGAGGGTGTGCGGGGGAGGTTGCACCTACAGCGCCTGCCTGCCTCCTCTCTCTCCCAGCCGCACCTGCTGCTGTGGGGGGGAGTGTGAAGTGGTGGGGAGGCTCAGGGGATGTGGGTGGTGGGTGACACAACTGCCGCAAATGTCGCCACGCCTCCTCCTCTCTCTCCTCACTGCCGTTGCTGCTGCTGGTGGGGGGAGGTTGAGGGGGTGGTGTGAGTCCAGCTGCAGCATCAGCCACCTCCCCCCACCCTGCCCCCCTCCCTTCTCCTCCCTCTTCCTGCTGCGCGTGCAGCAGTTGGGGGGGAGGGGAGGGGTGTGGGGGCGGAAGGTGTGCAGGGGAGGCTACACCTACAGCGCCAGCCTCCTCCCTCTCCCTGCTGCGCGTGCAGCAGTTGAGGGGGGGGTAACAAGGGGGGGGGAAGGCGGGTGACTCAACTGCAGCAATTCCTGCCACGCCTCCTCCTCTCTCTCCTCACTGCTGCTGCTGTGCGGGGGGAGGTTGAGGGGGTGCTGTGAGTCCAGCTGCAGCATCAGCCGCCTCCTCCTCATTTGCCCTCTCCTTCTTCCGCTGCGCAGGGTGTACCCCTTCAGGGGGTGTTCTGCACATGGCTATTCCTGCATGCAGTTAGGGGGTGTGTCAGAATATATTTTATATATATTTCTGTATAACTGCATATAGTTATAGCTGTAGTGTAGTTACTGTTTTAGTCCCTGTAGGTGGTGCACCCTTTGCCATCTCTCGCTCCTATATCTTGTACCTTTTTCTCTTAGTGCATCACTTCTTCCTTGCTATCTCAACTCTCTCGACACTTGCCTAGCTCACACCCTAGTTATGGCTCATACTAGTCTAACAACAACTTCTCACCCCCCAGGTACATGCTAGCTACAATGCCTCATCTGCTAGAACTCTCTCTCTCGCCCTGAAGAGGGCTATTTGTGCCCACCATGCTAACTTTCCCAGGCTGCGTCAAGAGAACTTAGCACGCAGGTGCTTCACCCGCTTTGGTGTTCGACCGGACCGTTCTACCATAGGCAAGGCGATCCGCGAAGAATGTCACTGGAGCTCTTCTGATGAGAGCTCCAGCACTGCTTGTGTGCACGGTGGTGCGCCCGAGCTTGGGCTGACGATCATCAGGTGGATCGATTTGGCAGGTCCCACCGACGTGCCGACTCTGCAAACCATTCGCGATCATGTGGTTGGTATTGCTCGTAACATGGGCTTGCACCCCTCTGTCGATTGGGTTCGACGCACCATGAAGCGTCATGGTGTGTATTGCCTTAGCTCGGTAGGTGAGGTGGCCAATCAGGATATCAACACCGTCCGTACCTGCAAGGAGAAGATGTCGCAGCTTCTAATGCATCTCATCGTTTGTGCACGCAATCTGTACATTTTTTATGAGACTTCTCTTTTCCTCTCCGTGCTTCGAAGGAGAACGTATAGAAGGGCGCGCGTGGGGGGGAGGAAGATTCCCAAGAAAGCCTGACCGTAGGCCTTCTCACCAACGCCAACGACGCCCACCTTTTCCGCCCACTCGTCATCTCCAAGGCGCCCCTGAGCATTTCTACCCAATTACAACCCCAAACGACTGGCACTCTAACAAGAACGGCCGGATGACCGCTTTGGTAAGTATCTGTGTATTTTACAATTTAGATTGATCACGTTTCCCATGGCTAAATTCAAGTCCTATTCTAATCTAAGTAACTTACGTTAGCCGGTCTTCACCTATCCTTTTATGTCCGTCTCCTTTCCACCCCCGCCCCCCTCATCTCTTTACCCACTTCATCGAGCAACTCAACGCTGCAATGTTCACAGAGGGGAGGAACATCGTCATTCTACTGGACAACGCCGACAACCACAAGCTGCTCACCAAGACGGCTGTTGCGGAGGACCTATTTGATATAAGGACGAAGTCACTGAGCAACATTCGCCTGGTTTACCTCCCCCTCAACACTACCTGCTTCACCCAGCCGCTGGACCAGGAGGTCATCGCAATGGTGAAAGCGCGTTATGCCTGATTTACCTCCCCCCCAACACTGCCTGCTTCACTAACTGGCTGCACGCATTCACGGCGCAGTGGAATGCAATCGGGGCACTTGCGGCTCTCGCGAGGTACATGCCGCATCTGCGTGACGTCCATGATTGGCCGAGCGACGCGTGGATGAACTTTCCCCCGCGTACGATTCAGCGCTGCTGGTGGCACACAAGGCAACTGCTGAGTGCATGGGAGATGGAGCCCTGGCAAGTGGCCGAGCCTGACATTGACAACGATCCCGAGATGCCCGATTTGGAGGACGAGATGGCGGATGTCGACGCGCTCATCGCGGGCCTACAAAATGCCCGCTCCTGAGTTGGTTGAGTTCGACACAAACTAATCCACCTGCACTGAACTAGGAGAGGACCTGCTCGCGGAGGAGCCGTCACTCCTCACCCCATCCTCGACGTGGGATGCCCCGCTGCCGCCCACTCTCGAAAACGACGACGACGAAGATGCGGCGCGCGAAGGTCGATGCACTTTCTGTGGTGCCTGCGAGATGCTTATTGGGTATGCGTGCTCGCATAACCTTGCCCCGTATGACCTCCGTGCGCGGTTCAACATCCGCAATCTCATCATCGTCGAGCGCCTGGAGCGCGCAAGCCCGTCCCTCAACTTGAACCCCCCTACGCCCCCCCCCCCCCCCCCCCCCCCCTCCCTCCCCTCCCCCTCCTCTTGGTCCCAACGAACACGTCCTTCCTTGGTGGATGCTAACAGGTCGCCGCCGCTAGAAGCTGCTTGATGCAGGTGTTGGCGCGGGCATGGATGGTTAGCCGGAGAGCGCCGAGTGGATGCGCAATCCTTGAATTGCCATCCACGGCCGTGCACCAGACAGTGTGCACGATGGCATTCCGTTTGTGTTTCCAACTGCGAACTGTGAATCAAGAAAACAGGAATGAAATGACTAAGTGAAAGTTGGGTACAAAAGGCAAACCCTAGGCAACTGTACCCCATATGTGCTACCCCACTATAGCCTACAGTAGCTATGTCATATAACTCTGACACACCCCCATAGGCAAAGTGGGGGAGAACAAGGGGTCACAAGACCAGTCAAGCAAAGCAAAGCAAGCTCAGGGTGGATCACAAAGTCACCACACATTCCGAGCACAAGTTCAAGGCCACAAGGCCAGTTCACATGCAGGATTACATATATATATAAGGCTAGACAAGCAAGAGCAGGAGTATATATATATGCAACAGTACAAACAAGGTCAAGAGGTGAGCAAGTGAGGCAAGGTAGGTACAAGACCCAGCTGAGTACAGAAGCGCTAATGATCACAAGGCGCAAGTGCCTTGGTGAAGATATCAGCAGTGTTGGCCTCAGAGGCCACGTACGCAAGTCGCAGCTGACCACGCTGCTGTAGCTCACGAGCAAGGAAGTAGCGAAGAGCAATGTGCTTCGTTCTGTGCTCCAGTCTCTGCTCTCGACACAAGGCCAGCATGGCCTTGTTGTCTACGTAGAGCACTGGGGGAGAACGAGGCGGCTCTCCGAGGTCAGTCAGCAGGTAGGTGAGCCAGCGAAGCTCCTGTGCAGCCATGGCCCCGGCGTAGATCTCAGCCTCACAACTGGAGCCGAGAACAGAAGACGAGCGAGTAGCCCGCCACGAAACAGAGCCGGAACCAAGGCTGAAGGTGTAACCCTGTGACGACCGCTGCGTAGCCTGGTCGTCAGCCCAAGAAGCGTCTGCGTGTCCAGTGAGGACCACTGGACTCTGCCCTCCAAGCACAAGCCCCATGCCCGACGTACTGCACAAGTAGCGCAACACCCTCTTCGCTGCAGCCATGTGCTCCGGTCTGTGTCTCCCAGGAGCAACATAGCGTGCAAGAATGCTAAGAGAGTATGCAAGGTCAGGTCGTGTGCAGGTCATCAGGTACATGAGGCAGCCAACAAGCTCTGGGTACGGGCCACTCGACTCTACGGACTCATCCGAAGGCAGAGCTGAGAGCGAGTGGCGAGTAGGCAGAGGAGTGGCCTGAGGCGAGGAGTACGTGAAGCCGAAGCGCTGAAGGACCTGCTGCACCATGTGTGACTGAGTCAGGGTAATGGTGCGGCGTGCTCTGTCCCGGGTGATCTGCAAGCCAAGGTAGCTGCGCAGTTCACCCAGGTCTGTGCACGTGTGTCTCTTCTGCAGCTCGGACTTCACGTGGGCGAGTCCAGCAGTGTCAGCTGTGGCAAAGACCAAGTCGTCGACGTACACGAGGATGTAGAACGGCTGCAAAGAAGTGTCGGTGCGCAGAAACAGCGACGGGTCGGCAGTAGAGGGAGCAAACCCAAGAGCCGCAAGTGTAGTCCTCAGTGTGTCGTGCCACTCACGCGGTGCCTGGCGGAGACCGTAGACTGGCCGCCGGAGGCTCCACTGGGTGCCAGGAGGAAAAGACCCAGTGAAGCCAAGTGATCTCCTCGTGCAGGCTGCCCTGCAAGAAAGCAGTGCTGAAGTCAAGAGAGTGCAGCTCGTAGTCGCGGTGAGCAGCTATGTGCAGCAGTACCCGAAGAGTGGTCATCTTCGGGGTGGGAGAGAAGGTCTGAAAGTAGTCAACTCCCTGCCGCTGACTGAAGCCACGAGCCACGTAACGCGCCTTGAAGACAGGCGGAGAACCCGGCGGCCGCTTCACCCTGAAAATCCACATGCCACTGACGATGTTCGCCCCAGGCGGGGGAACCTCGTCAACGTAGGTGCCTGTGGACTTCCAGGAAGCCATCTCTGCGTCCATAGCTGCCTGCCACTGAGAGGAGTAGGGACCCTCTATCGCCTCCGCGTAAGAGCGCGGAGTCGGGATGTCAAGTGCATCCGGGTCTCCCTCAGGGGTAAGCAGTACGGACACGAGATGAGGTGAAGCAGCAGCCAAACACTGGAACTCCTCCTGCCTGTCCTCAAGGACGTCCGTGCCAAGGGCACACTCACCCCCGACGGACGGAGGACAGACAGACTCAGACTCAGCAACAAGACTAGCAGCGTAGTCTAGACGACAGCGAGCAGCAAAGTCGACGAGCTCAGTAACTAGGGCAGACGCAGTAGTGGACTCAAAGGAAGGGTCAGTGACAACAGTAGCAAGGAGACGCGTGACAGTAGGACTGGCAGCACGAAGGGAGTCCGACTCCGGGTCAGGAAGAGCAGGAAGAGAGGACTCAGGAGGAGAAGGCAAAGGGGCACGCAGAGGAGCAGTGGACGGACGCAGAGACATCCGGTGCGTGCCAGGGACAGGAGGAGGACGCTGACGCGAACCGCGACCACTAGTGCGAGCAGCACGGACAGGCGACGCAGGGCGAGACGCAGGCTCACGACGCTCAGCAAGACCTCCAGTAGGACCAGTGTAGGGAGAAGGAGCGGGCAGTGGGGAGGCCGGCTGTAACTGTAACTGTGACGGGACAGGCTGTGGACACTCTAAGGGAGGAGGAGGACCAGTAGAAGGCGGGAGACCAAGAACCTGCTGAAGGAGCGGAACGAAGTACGGCCTAGGCCGTGTGGCGACTCCAGACACAGCAGGGACAGCACCAGTACCCCCAGCGGCAGCACCAGCGCCAGCAGTACCTCCAGCTCCAGCACCCCCAGCAGGACCGCCTCCAGGACCGACAGCAGTAGCCTCAGCGCCAACACCCTCAGCAGCTCCAGCTCCAGTCGTACCCGCAGGCCCAGCAGCTCCAGTACTCCCAGTACGAGCACCTCCGGGACCCGCGGCACCAGCACCCTCAGCAGCCGAAGAACCTCCAGCTCCAGCAGCACGCCTCCAGCGCCGGGCAAACCACTCGCGCAGCTCCTGTGGAGAGAGTGGCTCCCGCCGAGACGAAGCACCCGGAGAACCTCCAGGCTCAGCACCGCCAGACGCCACACGAGCAGGCCCAGCTCCCTCAGGCTCCGCACCCCCAGGCTCAGCACCTCCAGGCGTAGCACCCCCAGGCGTAGCACTCCCAGGCTCAGCACCCCCAGGCTCAGCACCCCCAGTAGTAGCACCCCCAGGCTCAGCACCCTCAGGCTCAGCACCCCCAGTAGTAGCACCC